TAATGAGTATGAACCTAACTAATAGTATCATTTCGTATTAAGAACTTTGCAGTTTAGATTAATTTGGCTAAAAAAAATTATAAATGAAATAGTGAATAATTGTAAGCAACGACCTGGATTTTATGAATATGAACTAATGCTAAAAGTGTTTATAATTTTTCCATATGATATATTTATATGTACTCGCCATAAGCTAATTGATTTATGATTAATGTGGAAAACATTTCATACTTACAAATACACATAGTAGGACTATGCTCAGTAGTTCCATTGCTTTTTACATTAAACTATTGAAGATCAGATGATCCAGTTCGCATCTTACACTATTTAACGATTTACCTGTCTGTGACAGCCGATACGTAGTAAATCGTTAAAGTTTAATTTCTGAAAACAAATCATTACCAAGAAAAATAAGTGAAAACGAAACCGTTGTAGTAACACTTTATGTGTTTAGACAGACAAGATTAAAAATCAATTTTGTAAAATCTTACATTTTTATTAATTTATACCGAAATAATATTCATTTTTGAATGGCAAGTAATCCATTTTGCTTATTTTTATCATAAACATGTTCATTTTTATTTATGAAACAAATATTTTGAAAGCACAATAATCAAATACATGTGATTTATTTTTTATAAACGATTTAGCTTACACAGAGGACACCAACTATATCCCGTAAAACAGTACTAACGAGACAAATGGCCAGGATATCAATGATCTTCTATTTTGATCTGACGGTTCCCAATTTAAGATGATCATTATACAGGCATCAAAAGACAATATTTCATTGAAGCATTTATGAATTTTGGAATAAGAGGACTCTTACTTACATTTTTATGATGTCGGTTTACCCTTCGAATACATGGAATTTGAATTCCCTAGCATATGTCTTTCTTTTCATTCACAATCAATATAAAAGTTTAAAAAGGAGGAAATCATTCTTTTTGTAGTTTCGGTTTCATTATCTTTTTTTTAACTTATCACTACTACATGTATGTCACACTGTTTTTTAATTCAGCATTTGTCTACATTTCAGATTGAAACAAGACTATTGCGCGCACATTTACCTAGAATTTGTGTTGTCAATATATTCATGGATGATTGCATCCGCATTACATTAGATAACTTTATCATATATACAGAATTATAATGTAAGCATAAACTTTTTTATAATATTTTATACAGTAGATACGTCTTTACAAATGATAAAAAAAACTTAAATTTATTCACAAGATTGCGTCATAAATGACACGTGCATGCAGTTTTTAAGTTAAGAATGTTTTAAGGAATAACTGTCTTATTTTTTCGATTTCATGAAGTGATCAATCGATTGGCTTGCGTGATAATTTGCATAAACGCCGAAGGCGTTTATGCATAAAATTATCATGGAAGCCAATCAATTGATCATCTTCATGAAATTGAAAAATCTTACAGTTATTCCTTATATTTACATGCTTTGATTCCACCAATCCACGTGCTCCAAGCCCTGCTTCTGTCTAGCTGTTTGTTCCGCCCTGCACGTGTTTTTTTCTTGGAACCGCGTCAATACATTGATGGGAAAATAAAGTACATTTACATTTAGTAATTTTATCTCGGACAAAGACATTGGAAATGTAAATATTTTCTTATACAGTACGTATTGATTTTCAACTTGTCAAATTAAAATACGAGAGGTTATAAAAAAGTTCGTGGACTGAGACTATTAAATTAGTACTATGTAGTCTGTGCTTTCAAAATTTATATGGAACATAAAACAACACAAAATAAAGAAATTTTGAAAATTTTAGCCTTATTTGTTCATTATTTGCTAAATTATTATCAAATGAAATCGACATCCGGCGATCACCCGGCGCTGTTGTCGTTTATTTTCATGACGTCCGATAACGTCATTTTATTTCAATGTCCTCTTCTTCTACCTTATACACTTTTTTGATAAGATTCCTTGGAGCTTAGTAAGGAATAAACCCGCCTTGTTTATATGACTTTACAATGTCATGAACTGTGGCCTTCAATGAATATAATATAACTCCAGATGGACTAATACATTGGGAGAGATCAGCGCTTGATTGTGTCGGCATATTTTGCTTTTAGGAGTTCAATATCTACAACACATGGTCAGCGTCATTTTTGACGGGATTGATTTTTCACACCTTGACTGCAAATCGACATTAACAGTGTATCCCTTTACTCTCTGAACCTATTTTGACATTAAAAGACAAGTACTCTGGATGCATATTATTTCTCTGCAGCCAGTTTCAACATATTTCATGTCTTTACTATATTTTTCAGGGGCAATACTTTATATAATGTTGAAAACGGAAACCCCTCCCACTTTTTGACGTTATTTTCATGGCCTCATTTGTTTGGACATTCCGTGTAAAATTTACGGTAAAATTTCATAGATATTCCAGAATGAAGTGAAAATTTCATATTTTACAGAACAGTTATGTCCCGAAACATACACGAATTAACGGGATTTTTGGATGTCAAATAATCATATCAAATGAGTTTTTCTCATTTACATATAGATCGAAAAAACGTCGTTTTCGAGGGTGCGCCGCCTGGACATACTATAGCTTACAAAAACATTACTAATTTAGTAAAAAATAAAATTCATGATTTTTGGTTTATTCTTTGGATAGAAAAGATGATACTAACTAGATATTTCATAATTCATTGATGTACCTCGAGCGGTTTTACTTTTATGGCGCTAGTCCACGAACTTTTTGATAACCCCTCGTATTTCTTTAATTTGTAAAATGTTTAAATCTAATTTTTTTTTTCTCATGAATTAATTTGAAGAAATATTTAATTTTGTGAAACAGATTGCATTAAAGCATAAATCAATGTATTGACTGGATTGGTGCTACAACACATCGCCCAATAAATTCACCACACAGAAGTTTTCCATCCCGGGCAACTTTCAAGAATACAAAACAAAACTCAGTTTTACATAAAGTACACGGCATTGATTTGCAAGCTTGATCATGTTGAAGTAATGTTGAGCAATTTGGACAGAGACGTTTTGAAGGTACTTCATCCATATTAGAATAGTCCATTGTTTTCTTGGACAATGTAACAGTTGACTATGAATTTCGACATTGTCACCTAACGCGTCTGGACGAAGCATATTCGTTATTTAATTGCCATTCGTCTATATGCAATGCCAACAAAATTTAAAACTGTAATATAAATCCTTTGAACACTCACAACTTCTTATTTTCTTAGAATAGGAAACACATCTAAGACATGTCTTAAAGTCTTCACTATTTCGTTTGTTCAAATTATTAAAGGAAAGCTTTGCACTAAAAAATATATATTCGTCAAGAGTTAGCATGCATTTCTTCAAGATTTCTTGATTATCCCAAATCTGATTGCAAATGTCGAAATTCGTTTCAGCCGGGCACTTTAGAGTGAGTTCATTTTAAAAAATCTTCTCTCGAACAAGTCCATAAAAATTGTCTGGTGCTGTAAAAAAAAAATAATAATACATAGCATGTTATGTAGTGTGAAGGAGAACCTACATATTTTATGCATTAAATTTGTATAATTGATAAATATAAGTGCTAAGACATAGATGGTTTTTTAAGACTCTAAATAAAAAGGCCAACCACACGTCCACGCATATACGCTCTTTACCGTTGTATATCCCCTTGCATTATTAAAGTCTTAACTTTAGATATTATTTTCTATACAATTATGATTACTTATAGCATGGCCACATGGCAGTTCTAGTCTGCGATTAGACTCGTATTCCCAAACTATGTCGGGTTTTGTTGAGGTGGGGCATTCAAAAATAGGGCGGCTCCCAGCCCGCACCATAACGTAGAAAGGATCGTGCAGCACATCACTTGTTGTTTCCGTATCATATACAAAGAAGTTCTCAATGTTAACGATATCTTTTAACCAGTATTCTGTTCCCAGTATCGAAGCCACTGTCTGCCTCATTTCTCCTACATTAGTCCCCTTTCAGAAAATGTATATTGTTAAGCTACAGAATAATTCAGTTACTGTAGGTATTGTTATCATCTAATAGATAGTTTATTGTAGGTATATCAAACATTTTAGTCGTATAATTGAGAAATAAATTTATATACAAGCGTATTTTGATACTTTCAGCAATAGGAATATATTTAAGCTTCATACGGGTCTAAATCGCTTCATAGTATCAGAAAAAATATCTACAATAATGCATAAATATATTTAAACAGTCCACAAAGAAAGGCCTGCTTTTTTGCTTCGGTACAGATTGTCAGATGATAACGTTTTAGAGGTTTTAAAACAAAAGAAACTTATATGAACAAGTATTTATAAACAGACTTAAGATGAATTAATCTGTTTAAATCTTTATTTTGTGTCCCTTACATTGAATTGTAATTAAGGGATTGTAAAAAGTTCAAAGAATTTCTTTTATTATTACTAAACGGGGAAAACATTTCTAATAATGATTTTTAAATATGAACTTAAGTAAATTCCTATTCATCATATTGCTACATTCAACCAATTATTACAGAACACTGTTAACAAAGAATGGAGCATTTTTTAATTTTTTTTTCAGAAACATCAACATTATATTACTTATAAATATTACAAAGTCAGCACCATTGTTATTTTATAGATTTGAAGATCTTATCAGAGAACTAAGAATAATAGAAAAGTTATTTAACTTTAAATATATCTAAACGATTTTAAATGTTAATCAAAGAATGCTTACAGTACATTTTTTGTGAGTATTTAAAAAAAGAGAAATATAAACTGTCAATATTTTTGCTTTGAACTCCTTGCATTTAAATTAAGGGCATAGTCACAGAAACCAGGAACACCATGATGCACTTTATCTTTACTTGATACTTCTTAATTTGAATTCTCTTCTCATTCTGTTTTACTTGTTCTCAGATGTGCGGCTTAACTTTTTGGTTGTGATTTCCATAAGGCAGTTTTCTTTACTGCTATAAAATTCTTGCCCTCTCTCTGGTAGAAAGAGCCAGAGCGAATGGTTACCATATGTCTCTAAAGTAGTGGCTAGTGTAAAATCCATTAACACCCGTGGTTTGCTTCAATTCTGAAATATAAATACAATTTTGAATATGAAAATAATACATAGATGAGTTTTTTAATAAATGTTGTATACCTCAAACCAATGAACAGTGTTTGTTAACTTATTAAACTAGAACGGTTTGCAGGCTATACTGGCTTATAAATTTTATTTTGCTGTAACTGCCTAATATATCTTGATATTGGGAGTGTTCGATTAAGGCGTTTTCTCTTTAAATATAAGCCTCAAGGACATCACTATATCAGATAAGATTTCTTTTAGCGCTACCACGCCTCGTATCATTACATTACTTACATAATACATGTAATAATGTTCTGACGTACAACTATAAATGACCTTTGTGATGATCGTTTCTCAGTGTGTATGTGTTTATCGTATTAACTATAATGTTAAAATTATTATTTTGAATATTAGTCAAGTAACGTTTATCTAATCAACAATTAAGGTGTTTTAAATCTGTCAAAAATCTGACAGTGTGTTCAAATGTTTTGATGACAAATTGCAATAACTTGTCTTATAGTACTTTGTCTGTGTACAGTGTGCATGTTTCTTTCTCATTAGTTAATAACAAGGATCTTTCAAAATTCTTGTGTGAAATACCTGTACATGTGTTAAATTTTTAAGCTCATTACAATCATCAGTCAGATACTTGTAATATTATTTTTGTTCGAAACTTTACATACACACAATTAGCTAATATTACAATAGGGTATATATGTACTTATCAGATAGTCCTTTGTGTATGCGTCTGTGCGTATATCCATAAAAATATCTTGCTATAAATCACGAAGTTTAAACTGTATCTGTGTAAGGGTATACGTATCTGCACATGTAACACACGTAACAGGTATTGTGTGTAATATTATGTATTTTTTCATTAAGATAACAATTAGCATACCTGTCTGCATAAGTATCTGTATACACATACTCTGTTGCTCTCGTACGATCCAACCCAGAGAAGATGAGAATTGGCTTGATACCCCAGACCATGGGGTGATTCTATACCATCTTGTTTTGTCTGTATTAATGTTAGAAAGTGTCCGTTCACATCAATAATATGTATTACATTTAAGCTACGATCACACACTAGGATATTTGATAGTGCGTCTGTGCAGATTCCACGTGGTAATAGCCGTGGTCCTAATGGAGGTCCTGTATATGAGAAGCGATGTGTTCCATCGCGGTCTGTCACCACCACAGCACGATTCCAGTCAGAGACAACAACATCTCCATTGCGGTTCTCTGTGATGTACTCGGGGCTTTTATATAGTTCCTGGTCTGTATGGAAGTATTGAATCGTCTGTATGTGTTCTCCTTTTTCGTTATACCGATTTACCTTAGCTGTATCTGTATCGTATCTACACATCCCAACCAACAGATCTCCATTGCAAGGAGAACAATAGACACATCTTAGTGTCCACGGTTTTCTCTTTTTTAATAGGTTTGTTATTGATGTGCTATATTTTGTAACTTTATTTATCATGTGAATGTCTAAAAAATCTATGTCTGGCGCAATAAAAATAAGGTCACAGGCTCTGCTGAATGTGTGAAATCCCCACAACTTATCTATACCTATATGACGTTGTTTATAAGTATCACCTTCTGTGTTTGTAAAGACGATATGGTTTTCCCAGTCGCTAATACAGACCAAATCTAATATCCCAGAGGAAATATGTATAGCACCACTTAAACCTGTTATTTCGACACATCTGTGTAGCACTGGTGAAATCATCTGTTTCAACAGGCATTCATTTTTCAATTGTCTTTTATCCGTGTCTGTGATTTTTACTTCTGTCAGTAATGAAAATATCTCTTTTCTGTTAATTTCGTCAGTTGCAAAGAGCAGAAATCGTTGTGTAACACTAGATGTGCCGTAAATCTCTTGGACACAGGTTTTCTTTCGGAGTAAAAGGAATTTCACTGGTGTGTTTGCTGACTGTTCGAATCTTTTCTCATTTTTGGCAATAATGGCAAAGTGTCTGTTCACTTTTCTATTTCGTTGTTGTAATATATGTATCATATTACTTTTACATCTGACTTTTATAGCAAGTATTCCAGTGTCAATGAGGTCCTTCAATTTTTGAGCTTTTGTTTTCATTTGTAAATGAAGGGTAGAAATTTTCAATTGGCAAGCTTTTAGATCAAATTTGATTTCTGCCAGTAGAAAACAGCTATTAAATTGAGTCTTCCATCTGATGTCATTAAATATTTCTCTGTGTTGTTGACGATTTGTTTGATATGCTTTTCCAATATCTATTAATGCGTGTTTTTTGTGTTCTAGATCTCTACATAGTACACAGATAGGAAGATTACATGTCTTACAAAACGTACCAAACATTTCCTCTGGATGCCTTTCACAGAACTCTTGTTTCGAGAATTTATATTTCTCTCGGTAAATAACAATACCATGATCTATGGTATCTAGATCAATAGTATGCATATCTTTACATTGTTCACAAAGATCATTTCTACACACAAAACAATAAAACTCTGCGTCTCCCCGGCATTTAAAACACTGGCGAACTCGTAATTGAGTGTTCATTCTAAGCGAGTTCACGACATGGAGTTGTGATTGCAGTGATGTTTTCCTCTCACCCATTTTGGTTTCTATGTGCTTTTTACATTTGAAACAAACAGGAAGTTTACATGAGTTACAAAATATATCATACATTTTGTCTCGATGCCTTTCATAGATATCTTGGTTTAAGAATTCATATTTCTCTTGGGAAATAAAAATATTATGATCTATGGTATCTAGGTCTAAAGAATGTATCTCTTTACATTGTAGACAAAGACTTGTTCCACACACGAAACAGTTACACTCTTCTTTGGCCTCGAAATGAACACACCTGTGTCCCCTCCACTTATCGTTCATTTTTCGCCTGTATTCTCTGATTTCGGATCCGTTCTCCTTTAGTATTCCAATGCCCCCGTATAGGTCTTCCATGTCCTTTTTACAATCGAAACAGATCGGAAAGTTAAACTTTTTGCAAAACAATTCAACACTTTTATCAGACTGTATATCTTTTATTTGTTCTGTGCACAAGTATTCATTTTTCTCTTCGTTACTCAAAACATAATGCTCTGCAGTTTGGACATTAATAGCATGTCTCTCTTTACACTGTAGACACAGATTGTGTTTACAAGTTAAACAGTAGAATTCCATGTCTTTCGGGCATTAAGAAAACTGCAGTTTTCTAAACTGCTTGTATTATTTTTATGTTTACTTGTATGACGTCGATGTAAATGCAACCTACAGAACAAAAAGAAAAAAATTATATTTAAGGTAAATAGACAAAAAAAATTTAGATCAACAATTTAATTTGCTATAGAATAATTCAGCATATATTTTTCACTTTCTTATATTATACACATTATTAAGTTGATTGTTTTACAATTTGATTGTTTGATTGTTTGCGTTAGTACCATTAAAGTACGCCGGTTGGTCCAAAAGTAATGTTATTTTGTTCATATCTTTAATATTTGGCGTTATATCATCAAATATAATGTACCAGAAGAGGCACTAAACTGCTAATCAAAATTGAAAGTTTTATTTAATAATTTGTAATTTATTTAATTTTATAGACGCTTAAAGTATTAAATATAAGAATTGTCGCTGCGTCAAAACTAAACGTCACGTTTTGAAGTGTTCATTGTAAAAATGATAAAAGAGAAAAACATTAAAAAGCATCTAAAAAGCGTCTAATTTTAAAAGACAAAATTTTACGACATTTTAGTCTTTTGAGTTGAAAATAAAGCGACGTCACTGTTTTTTTTTTATCATAAACATTATATCATTTAACCTGATGTATTCAACAAATAAAATGTCTTAATAAAAGAAAAACCGCTTAAAGGAGTTGTAGCTGAGCTGAGTTTTTGCTTTGAAATGGTGAAATCGCCAAAAGAAACAGTAACGATGATTTATCAGACACACAGAGGACAAAATGTAAATAGAGACCTGTTTAAAGATACATGTACAGTGTAGTTACAGCGATTTTTGGCAGGTCATGGGTCAATGAACGATCAGCAGAGGACAGAAAGAAAAGAACGAAACAGGAAGGTCGGGTGTAAACGTTCAATGGTAAATGACGTGGTCAAAAGAGAGAGCTATGCCTTGGTTAGAGCGATATGAGAAACTTTCAGTTTGTCTTATAGTACTTCAAAAAATTTTGACCGAGGACTAAATTATATATAGAAGGAGTGTACAATGCTTACCAATAATTTCTAAAAAATAGTGAAATATGTAAAATTCGTGAATTTTAAATATTTTAATGAAAGGAAGGGGGAGAGTTTAAGTGTATGATGGCGTGTATCCGTCATATGACGTTATTTAGGTGCGTCGACTACCATAATTGCACTTCGTATATGCTTCGATATTTTGAAAAATATAAATTACTTTGATTTTAATTTTTGCAGGATTTGATTTGTTATAAATGTAGCATCAAGCAGGTATAATTTTGTTGATTTACGTATACTAGTAGCAATTTTATCGACGTTGTTACTTTTAGATCAACCCTCGTATATTATATATGAAATCTGCAAAAATAGTACCTTCCGAAGCTTATAAGGTATTCTACCACGATTATTGAAAACATCAAAGGAAACCGGTTTACATTATTCTCAAAGAAATCACGAACGTCATCAAAAAATTATCAGAAACACGTATCAAATCTGAACAATTCAAATGCATGTTTGGCTGTAGAATGAAATACTTGTTTAGACCGCATCGATGTGTCGTCTTTTGCAGTATAAACACTGTAAATTGCATCAAGATGCTGATGAATGTCGGTTTTTATATCTAAGCGGGGCTATTTCACGGGCCTCCCTACAGTAAAATACAGTAATAAGTTTATCAATATTTTATTATAATTGTACAAAAAATATAGACATTAAAAGTTGTGACATGTTTGTTGCAACACCCTGTATTTAAAAAAAAACACCTAATTAATTTCGTACTTTTAGTGAAAGCCATCATTGCAGAAAAAATATATTTTTATCAATAAAAGGAAGTTGGACTTCAATAGGAAAGTTGCTTTACCTGTTTATTTTGTTCAAACTGTAAGATATGAAACCGAAAGTACATTGCAAATGGAGGAATTATAGGGGTATTGTCTTTATAAATGCCATGCTTTCAATAAGAACCTTTCAAAGGCCATTAACGTTCACGTTGCTTTTAAGTGAAAACATGGATTTTTTTAAATATATATATTTTTCTCGATAAATATATATTTTTAAACATTTGTCTTCAAGTGATACTTTCTGTCGGTTAAACAATGATTTTTTGGAACTATTGTAAATATAAATTTTTGGACATTTTGGCCTTTGATGAAACATTAATTGTTACAGTTACGCCAGCTGAACGCATGTTACATTCTTTCTTTATTTGTTATATTCCAATAAGAATCAATCGTAACATATTTACATACCAATTCTGAAATCCATTATTTGTATAAAACGCCTGTTGGATATTTTATTAATCCGTGTCTCAAATTCAACGTCAAAAGCTCAGCACCCTCGTAAATAGGCATATGCTTTCTTAGTTTGACCTATATCAGCACCTGGGTATACATAACCTCCGCATTCTTTACACCTGATTGCACATCTCGAACTCATGGCCGACATGTAGTATTTCTTTTGTTGCTGTGGTGTGTATCTTAAATTTCATTGCTTGCATTCCGTGTTTGTAACGCAATGACGCGTGCACTTGATTTTATCCTAAACGTAGTATATGTGATTCATTCCATGTCTCCATATATACTTTTAAATTTCACATTGTAAAAGGTAAAATATAACATTGGAATATGTGGAAAAGAGTCATAGCTGCTTGTGTCGTCCGACTCAAGTATTTAAAAGGAAATCACCTGTTTCTATTTATAGATACATGCACCTTTTCAATTCAAGATCAAACTTAATGTTAGACTTGCTTGCCAGTCTGATCCTCTATATTCAGAACGTTTCATACGAATGAGACAGGAACTAACTAAATGTATGTAATCATTTGTGAACCAGTGTTATATTTCCATAGATGCAAGTTTGTTACATGAAAATCATTTTACTTGTTCAATACTCTTATTTAAACAACATTTTCAAGGTGTAATGTTCTATTACATATCTCTTACATAATTTATACATGTATTATGGAATAATAAAAAAAAATAGGAAAAATGCTCAGGAAGAAAATTAAAAAAAAAAATAGATAAGAAACACGCACGTAAGACTCGAACTCACGATCATTATATCTACAATCCAGCATACTTACAACTTCGCCACGAAGTCATTGTAATAGCATGAATAAATTTAAGACATATTGTTGAATCTTAAAAAATCTTAAAAAATTTTGAGAGGAAAAATAAAAAATATATTTTCAACATTTTCAATATAGACCACCTTTAACCAAAATCATCTAAATGTAATGAAGTGCAGTCATATCCAAATAGAATTTTTCAGAAGTTGTTTTGTCTAGTTAAGGGTGGTCTTAAGCTACAGTTTGTCAGTGTTTAGGAGGGTACCTTAGTATTTACTTTATTCTCCATATACACTGAACGATTTTTATATCTATCATATGAGGGAACTATTAATATTTGAATATTATTTTTGTGTGATTTGCTTTAAGGCATTTATAAACTAACATTGTATGACTAGATTTTGGTGAAACAATGTATTTAAAAAATCATTACTAGAGTAGGCGAAAGTGACTATCAAATGCGCTATTGCTCCTTGAGAAAAAAAGTAATTATTGCAAATAATTTCATTTATGTGACATATTCTTGTTTTATTATGTTATTATATAACAGTGTCTGTATTGTACATAGCTTTATACTAAGCAACTATTCGGTTCTTTTTATTGCAATTTTACCCCTTTTCCTACATCTAAATATGGGTTCAACCAATCAGCAATGCTCTTATCCATCACGTGATCATTATTGATCCGTTTACCAAAAGAGAAAATCATGATTTATTGAACTGCTGAATTTTTTGAACCCACCATCCACCCCATCTGCCACCAATGCTTGTTATTTCTTTCAGGTTGACATTTTTGTTGTTATGTTTTACCCATCTTTTTGACAATGTTTGAATGGGTTTAAAAGAGATTTATAGTACTTATTTTCTAGCGCACGTTCTAACTTAACAAATAAAATTTTTGTACATTGTAATTAATGGCAAATCCATGTATTAGGTTACTGAGAATGAGTCCGATATTTATTTTGTGTACCTCGAAATTTTGCTTTGGTCTGAGGTTTCCATATGATTTTTCAACATAAAGTAGTGTTGCTTTTTATATATGGTTTTCCTCGGCGGCGAGAAAAACATAGTTGTGTTCAATTTAATGCCTGCGCCATTGTATTGTTATTGGCTGTTTTTTTTTCTTTTGTTTTCCCATCTTTTTTGATGGCAGGCAGCAGTTAAGAGCATTTTGTATATGTCTTCCAAACTTATGATGTTTATAAGGGGATCAACTTAAAATGCATGTATATTGTACCTTGTGAAAGATTACAGGGTTTGAATTATTATTCTAGTCTGGTCGACCACCCTTTTGCCTATGTACATCATGTTACAATGTCATTATGGTGCTGGGGGTCAGATTATGTAATATTTTGACTAAGATGTGCTATATTTGAATCCCCACTGTGTTTTGTTAATCCGTCATTTACTTTAATAAATGACATATTGTTTGGCAGGAGAACTAAGGAACATAAAGAATTTTACTGTAATGAGTTGATAAAGTCTTAAGGGGGCCGTTTTATTGTGTGAAAACTACAATAGCGAAACTCTTCATTTTTTACCATATATAGCTTACATTAACTTCAGTGTACATGTAAAGTTTGGGGGATATCTACCGTCCAGGTAGACCTGTCTCAAAATACATTTTTACTATAGGATATACAGGAAAATGCCAATTTTTAGCACTTTAAAGTACTACAATAAAAATTTTGTTCAAACTATAATATTTGATGAGTAATGCTATAATATACAATATATGTAAGAAACACAAAATTCTACCGTCTTATTACCAGAGGGGGGCATCTCAAAATGCAAAAAATTAGCAAATTTTACTATTTTTATAGAGCATTACTAAATATGACGTACGCAATGGATTCGCATGAAAACATAATAACAATATTGGGGATATTCTCAAATTTCTATGTTTTCAATTTTAAGAGCGTA